GATGTCAATTAGGTCTAGCTGGTCCATTGTGTCCTTTAAAGTTTGTGTTTCCTTGCTCATTTTCTGTTTAGTTGATCTATCCATAGTTGTGACTGGGGTATTAAAGTCTCCTACTATTATTGTGTTACTGTTAATTTCCTCTTTCATACTCGTTAGCGATTGCCTTACATATTGCGGTGCTCCTATGTTGGGTGCATATGTATTTATAATTGTTATATCTTCTTCTTGGATTGATCCTTTGATCATTATGTAGTGTCCATCTTTGTCTCTTTTCACACCCTTTATTTGAAAGTCTATTTTATCTGATATGAGTATTGCAACTCCTGCTTTCTTTTGGTCTCTGTTTGCGTGGAATATTTTTTTCCAGCCCTTCACTTTTAGTCTGTATGTGTCCCTTGCTTTGAGGTGGGTCTCTTGTAGACAGCATATATAGGGGTCTTGCTTTTGTATCCATTCAGCCAGCCTTTGTCTTTTGGTTGGGGCACTCAACCCATTTACATTTAAGGTAATTATTGATAGATATGGTCCCGTTGCCATTTATTTTGTTGTTTGGGGTTCACGTTTATACCACCTTTCTGTGTTTCCTGTCTAGAGAAGATCCTTTAATATTTGTTGAAGAGCTGGTTTGGTGGTGCTGAATTCTCTCAGCTTTTGCTTGTCTGTAAAGCTTTTGAGTTCTCCTTCATATCTGAATGAGATCCTTGCTGGGTAGAGTAATCTAGGTTGTAGGTTATTCTCTTTCATTACTCTAAGTATGTCCTGCCATTTCCTTCTGGCCTGAAGGGTTTCTATTGATAGATCAGCTGTTATCCTTATGGGAATCCCTTTGTGTGTTATTTGTTGTTTCTCCCTTGCTGCTTTTAATATTTGTTCTTTGTGTTTGATCTTTGTTAATTTGATTAATATGTGTCTTGGGGTGTTTCGCCTTGGGTTTATCCTGTTTGGGACTCTCTGGGTTTCTTGGACTTGGGTGGCTATTTCCTTCCCCATTTTAGGGAAGTTTTCAGCTATTATCTCCTCGAGTAACTTCTCACGGCCTTTCTTTTTGTCTTCTTTTTCTGGGACTCCTATGATTCGAATGTTGGGGCGTTTCACATTGTCCCAGAGGTCCCTGAGGTTGTCCTCATTTCTTTTGATTCTTTTTTCTTTTTTCCTCTCTGCTTCATTTATTTCCACCATTTTATCTTCTAACTCACTTATCCTATCTTCTGTCTCTGTTATTCTACTCATGGTTCCCTCCAGAGTGTTTTTGATCTCATTTATTTCATTATTAATTTTTAATTGACTTTTCTTTATTTCTTCTAGGTCATTGTTAAACATTTCTTGCATCTTCTCAATCTTTGTCTCCAGGCTATTTATTTGTAACTCCATTTTGTTTTCAAGATTTTGGATCATTTTTATTATCATTATTCTAAATTCTTTTTCAGGTAGATTCCCTATTTCCTCCTCTTTTGTTTGACTTGGTGGGCTTTTTTCATGTTCCTTTACCTGTTGGGTATTTCTCTGCCTTTTCATCATGTTTAGATTACTGTGTCTGGAGTGGGCTTTCTGTATTCTTGTGGTCTGAGGTTCCTTTTTATTGTGGAGGTTTCACCCAGTGGGTGGGGTTGGACGATTGGTTTGTCAAGGTTTCCTGGTTAGGGAATCTTGTGTCAGCGTTCTGGTGTGTGGAATTGGATTTCTTCTCTCTGGAGTGCAATGGAGTGTCCAGTAATGAGTTTTGTGATGGGTCTATGTGTTAGGTGTGACTTTGGACAGCCTGTATGTTGACACTCAGGTCTATGTTCCTGCGTTGCTAAAGAATTTGCGTGGTATGTCTTGTACTGGAGCTTATTGGCTCTTGGGTGGTGGTTGGTTTTGGTGTAGGTATGGAGGCTTTTGGATGGTCTCTTATTCCTTAATGTTCTATGTAGTCAGGAGTTTTCTGGTTTTCTCAGGTTTTGGGCTTAAGTCTCCTGCCTCTGGATTTCAGTTTTATTCTTCCAATAGTCTCAAGACTTCTCCAACTATACAGCACTGATAATAAAACTTCTAGGTTAATGGTGAAGAGATTCTCCACCGTGAGAGACAACCAGAGAGGTTCACAGAGTTACATGAAGAATAGGAGAGGGAGGAAGGAGATAGAGGTGATCAGGAGGAGAAAAAGGGGACTCAAGAGGAGAGAGACAGATCTACGCAGTTATCTGTTCCCAAAGTGTTCTCCGTAGCCCAGACACCCACAAAGGTTCACAGAGTTGGATTGGGAAGAGAAGGGGAAAGGAGGAAATAGAGGTGTTCCGAGGTAGAAAACAGAGTCAAAAGTGGGAGAGTAATCACCACACTCCTGAACAGAAATGGGAACTGAATATTGGATTCTTAAATGTCCAAAATTTATATCACATACTGAAAAACAAAGATTAAAAATCTAGTGTAGAGGTTAGACTCTTTGAAATACAATATTTAAAAACAAAAACAAAAACACACAAAAAATTTAGAAATGTATATGAAGCTCGGTTTAAAAATAGGGTCTCTCTCTCTCTCTTTTTTTTGGCAAGGTTATAGTGAAATGAAAATGAAAATTAAGGAATAATAGAGGAGTATTAGAGGACTTTAAAAGGAAATAGGAGAGAAAAACAAGAAAAAGAAAAAAAAAGAAAAAAAAATTTTTTCCCTAATTAAAAAAAATCGTAAAAATATATGAAAATGAAAGTTGAGGAGTAATGGGGAAGTAATAGGGAATTTTAAAAGAAAATAAAAGAGAATAAAAAATAAAAAAAGGAAAGAAAAAAAAATTTTTTAATTAAAATATATATATATACATATATATCTAGGAATTTCTCTGGAGTTGTTGTAGTCAGTGTAGGTTCAGTTCAATTTCAGATAGCTCCTCTTTCCAGCTTACACTTCTCGATATCTGTAGGCCCCTTCCGGTGTAGTCGGTGTTACCTTCAGGGATTTTAATCTGTTGCACCAGTCCTTTCTGAAGCGGTTCCCTTTGTTTATTTGGCTTCTGTTTGCCGTCTCTTCGGTGTCTAATTTCCGCCCTGACATAGGCGGGCGGAGGTGATCTCTCATTTAGGTTCGCAAGTTCAGTTCAGTCCTGCTACGGGGAGGGCGGGGCGCTGCAGACAGATACCGCTCTGTGTGGATAGCACTCACCGTGTTCCGGTCACACTGGGTTTGCCCCGCTCACGGGTGTCAGTGCTTTCCCTGTCTACACTGCTCAGGCTCCCGGCTGCTCTATATGGAGCGGGCCCTGCGTTGAGTGCGGTTCCAGATTTCGGGTACTCCACAAAAGCGCGGATTCGGTTGCGCCTGCGTTTTGTGCCTTCCCCGGCCTGAGCGGTTCAGGCAGCCAGAGGCCTGGGCGCACTCTCCCCGGGTGCGGCGCGCCTTTTCCCTCCGCGTCGAGCGGCCCAGGCAGCCAGAGGCTTGGGCGTACTCTCCCTGGGTATGGCACGCCTTTTCCCTCCTCGTCGAGGGGCCCAGGCAGCCAGAGGCTTGGGCGCACTCTCCCAGGATGTGGCGCGCTTTTTTCCTGCGCGTCGAGCGGCCCAGGCAGCCAGAGGCTTGGGCGCACTCTCCCTGGGTACGGCGCGCTTTTTCCCTCCGCGGCGAGCGGCCCAGGCAGCCAGAGGCTTGGGTGCACTCTCCCCGGATGTGGCACGCCTTTTCCCTCCGCGGCCCCAGCGCGCGCCGCCAGTCGCGTCTCGGGAAGTCTTTAGATAGGAACCGGGGGCCTGTTTGCAGTGTGGGAGGGGGTGGCTTCTCAGGGGCTGTTTGCCCTTTTCCCCTCCCCCCTGCCTCCTACCTCCAGCGGGGATGGGCCGGCTCTTCTCTGGAGTTTCTCAGTCCCTTTGTTTTGTGATCCGCCGGCAGTGTGTTCCGGCCGGTTAATTTTGTCCCTTGCTATCCCACAGTTTAAAAAAGCTCCCTCCGATTGCTCTCAGGGTCTTCGGGCCGGTCCTTACCCTAAGCAATGCCGCCCGCTCCTCTCCGTTCCGCCCCCGCTTGTTGCTGGCGGGTGCGGGTGTCTGGGGTACTTTTCTGCTGGGAGTTGCTTTTAGGCACGTAATCTGTAGGCCTTATTTAATTTTTCCTCCCAGTTAGATTGCTGAAAACTTCCCCCAGTCCCGCCAGTGCGAAGTTTTCCTGTTGATTGGAAACTTCCTCTCTTAAGACTCACTTCCCAGGACGGGTCTCCGTCCATAGCTCTTTTGTCTCCCTTTTTATCTTTTATATTTTGTCCTACCTCCCTTTGAAGACAATGGGCTGCTTTTCTGGACACCTGATGTCCTCTGCTAGCGATCAGAAGTTGTTTTGTGAAATTTGCTCAGCGTTCAAATGTTCTTTCAATGAATTTGTAGGGGAGAAAGTGGTCTCCCCGTCCTATTCCTCCACCATCTTGGCTCCTCCTCCCGAAAATATTCTAAAGAAATCAACATATCTTGTAATGATACAGAATGCCATTTAATTGTAAAGTGTTCCATGAATTGGCACACTATTAAATTTAGAGTTTAGTTAACACTTTAAAAAGGCCCCCTTTCTTAATGTTTTTATTTATCTCTGAAGTTCATGTCTTTACATGTGACCTTTCTTTTCTTTCCCTCCTTATGCAAGTAATATATTACACATTGCTAATCATTCAAGGTTCATTCATGATGCATTGGTAGAGGTCATTCTTAAGCCAACCTTGCTTATTTTAAAATATGATCTTTTTTTTTCTTTTTACTTTAATTTACTATAATAAAGTCTCATATAACATCTCTGACCATTAAAATTTACATGTCACTTATCATCTATGGCTTCAGGAGTAAGTCCCTTTATTTTTATGATCTCTTGTCCTCTTTCTTAAAAGAAGGCAGCAGCTGATTTATCTCATGTGGTTGTTTTGATGAATACATGGCTGATAGATGTTAGGGAACTTCAAAACCTAAGAAATATTATACAAATTTGTAAGACTGTTCTATTACCATGTGATTACACTAACCCATATTGTACTTTGGAGCAGAAGCAATAATCTAATCAAGATGATTAAAATCTATAACATGAATAGCATCCAGAGGATGCTCAATATATTGACTGAAAGATAAGACTGAAGGATTTAATGAGAGTTGGCAGGACTCTCTTGACTGTGTGTTGAAGCCAAATAATTGGGATCTTTCTATGCTACAAACACTGACATCAGAGAATGCTTTTAGAAACTGAGAACTATGCTGAAGCAAAAAGGCAGAAACAAAGACTTGAAAAGATCCAAAGGTTACAGTCATCCCCAAAATGCATCTAAGACCAGCTTCTCTTCTGCTCCAGCAACAGTTCATGCCAGGGGTGAGTTCAGAGATGAAAAGCAATAGTCATTTTTGTATTTTAAAATACTAAGTAGTATTAGAGAGATGAGACCTGTGGTCACTTTTCAGTCAAATCTCTGCATCTCTCTGGGTTTTATACAAATCACTTTGTAGAGTAAGTCTTGAAAGGGATTTGAGTAGACCAACCAATCTTACTACAAACATATAAAGGAGCTCATTGCACCCAGTGAATGGCTTTTTCAGTATTGAGTTTGGTGTGTATGTATGTGTGTGTTTCCTTCCAGAAAACCAGAGACAGTATAACCAGATGCTAGTGTTTCTGGGCTAGCAAGCAATCAAACATCCTATAGGTTTTAGAAAGAGGACAGATGGTTTGCATTGGGCTTACTGATGAATGGGATTGATCTCATGTGGATAGACACACAGGCAAGCTCAGAGAGATAGTTGCCGAGTCATGCCCTGTGGCAGTTTGAATTACTTTTAGCGGGTATTTCTTCAGAGTTTCCTTTGGCTGATAATTTTGATTTGCCTGGTTCACAGTCCATATTCGGTATATCACTGGATCCTCTCATGTGTGCGCACACATCTCTTAGCCAAGATGGATCTCTTACCCAAAGAGGCCTGTAGGTAGAGCATCCTTTGACATTACTCCCCTTTGGGGACCTCCAAGGAGCCTTTCTATGCTAGTGCGGTCCAAGGGGTCTCCTGACTTTAAGAATGAGAAATATGTGGTCTGGGCAGGGCCCAGCCTCCTCCCTTAATTGTCCTGCTATTGTAGTCTTGCCTACAGGGAATGAATCTCTAATCACTTTACCCTGGGGGGAGGGAGCATCTTTCTTTCCCTCAGGAGAGAAAATATGGGTAAAAGAAGCAAGGATGATAAAGAAGAGAGGAAGCAATTGACATCATTCTGACTTTCAGTCAGTTCAGTTCAGTCGCTCAGTCATGTCCAACTCTTTGCGACCCCATGAATTGCAGCACGCCAGGCCTCCCTGACCATCACCAACTCCTGGAGTTTACCCAAACCCATGTCCATCGAGTTGGTGATGCCATCCAGCCATCTCATCCTCTGTCGTCCCCTTTTCCTCCTGCCCACAATCCTTCCCAGCATTAGGGTCTTTTCCAATGAGTCAACTCTTCACATGAGGTAGCCAAAGTAATGGAATTTCAGCTTCAGCTGTTTCAGTTTCAGCTTCATCAGTCCTTCCAATGAACATCCAGGACTGATCTCCTTTAGGATGGACTGGTTGGATCTCCTTGCAGTCCAAGGGACTCTCAAGAGTCTTCTCCAACACCACAGTTCAAAGGCATCAATTCTTCAGCGCTCAGTTTTCTACACAGTCCAACTCTCACATCCATACATGACCACTGGAAAAACCATAGCCTTGACTAGATGGACCTTTGTTGGCAAAATCATGTGTCTGCTTTTAAATATGCTATCTAGGTTGGTTATAACTTTCCTTCTAAGGAGTAAGCGTCTTTTAATTTCATGGCTGCAGTCACCATCTGCAGTGATTTTGGAGCCCAGAAAAATAAAGTCTGACACTGTTTCCACTGTTTCCCCATCTATTTGCCATGAAGTGATGGTACCAGATGCCATGATCTTACTTTACTTAATGTTGAGCTTTAAGCCAACTTTTTCACTCTCCTCTTTCACTTTCATCAAGAGGCTTTTTAGTTCCTCTTCACTTTCTGCCATAAGGGTGGTGTCGTCTGCATAACTAGGTTATTGATATTTCTCCCGGCAATCTTGATTCCAGCTTGTGCTTCCTCCAGCCCAGCGTTTCTCATGATGTTCTCTGCATATAAGCTAAGTAAGCAGGGTGACAATATACAGCCTTGATGTACTCCTTTTCCCATTTGGAACCAGTCTGTTGGTCTATGTCCAGTTCTACTGTTGCTTCCTGACTTGCATACAGGTTTCTCAAGAGACAGGTCAGATGGTCTGGTATTCTCATCTCTTTAAGAATTTTCCACAGTTTATTGTGATCCACATAGTCAAAGGCTTTGGCATAGTCAATAAAGCAGAAATAGATGTTTTTCTGGAACTCTCTTGCTTTTTCTGACTTTAGGTTGTGTTACTTCTAGGCTAAAAGACAAAACAAAACACTGGTAGAACCCTAGGAAAGGGTAGTGAATCGTTACAGTGGAATCTTAAGAAAAAGGTAAATTTTTTTTTTTTCAGATAGGAAGGTACTTATTTTCAGATAATAAGATATGTATTTAAGCTTTTAGCTCAGCAGTAAAATACCCACCTACTAATGCAGGAGATGAAGGTTCGATCCTTGGATCAGGAAGATCCCCTGGAAAAGGAAATGGCAACCCACTCCAATATTCTTACCTGGAAAACTCCATGTACTATAGATAAGGTATTTATTTATTTGTGAGAACATGGAGACTTGGAGTGCAATGACCACTGAATCTTTTCAGAGTCCCTGACTCCTCCAAGCTTTAGAATACATTTACCTTGATATTTGAGTGTGCTGGCAGGAGGTTCTGTATTTTTGGCTGTTCTATAGGAAAGAGCCATTCAGAAGCTTTCAAAAACATATAGGCAACTCCTTGATTGTTGTTCTCTTCCTCTGTTCAGCTTAATATGAAAATAGATGCAATATGTAATACTTTAATACTATTTATAAACATTAAGCTCTCCTGAGTCTGACTCTGCTTTGTGCTAGGCATGATGCACCATGCTTGGAGGTGTATGCTACAATAACTGTATAAGGATAAATCCTCATCTTGAGCTTGAGGAATTAATGTTATGCTGAGGTGCATTGTAAAAATAAAAAAGAAACACTGCAGCATCTATTACAGAGGTAGTGCACTGTAAATTACCTAAAGGTTTGCAGCTCTAAGTGCCAAGTGTATAAGGGGAGCCTGACGGTGGAGACTTAAATTCAGTAAATATTTATCAAATACCTCTCCTGTCTCTTTCTGAATACTTAGGACACCAAGACAAGTTGATCACAGCCCTGTTCTCTGCTTGCTTATAAGTCTTTAAAGAAAAAATGGACAAACAGAAAAAATAAAAGTATAGGTTAGAAGGTGGGCTATTATTTTTTATTATGGGGGAATTGGAAATGAATTCATTAACTCCATTGTGTAAATAGCCTGCATGCAACATTTTTACCTTAATACCATTGCTTTCTTAATTGAAAGGTCCAAATTCCCCAATATTTCTATATAACTCCATACAGAAAGTTGGGAAAGAGATAGATTGAGTCAGCTTGATCTGATACATGACTTGGTTTTCTCTCCCAGGCACTCAAGTCTTTTTGAAATATCATTCTAATGAGAAATGTGATTTTTTTTTTCCTCTCCTTTATTATCAAAAGACCTTTGGTTCACAAAGGATGAGAACTGGAAAGAGTTTGGAAACTTTGACATGCAAACAAAATACTATTAAATACTCTTTCTCAGAGAAGTCAGAAATTATGCTTGGATCCAGGGTTTCCCAGGTGGCGCTAATGGTAAAGTACCTGCCTGCTATTACAGGAGACTTAAGAGAAATGGTTTCCATCACTGGGTCAGGAAGATCCTCTGGAGGAGTTCAGAGCAACCCGCTCCAGTATCCTTGCCTGGAAAATACCATGGACAGAGGAACCTTGCGGGTGACAGTCCATAGGGTTGCAAAGAGTCGGACACGACTGAAGTGACTTAGCACATACAAGCGTTTCCCAGGTGACTCTAGTGGTAAAGAATTCACCTGTGGATGCAGGAGTCTCAGGAGATACAGGTTCGATCCCCGGGTCTGGAAGATCATCTGGAGGAGGAAATAGCACCCATTCCGGTATTCTTGCCTGGAGAATCATACAGACAGAGGATCCTGCAGGCTGCAGTTCATGGGGTCACAAAGAGTCAGACACTACTGAGCATCTGAGCACACTTACACACATGCTTGAATCAGGAAATACTTTCAAAGACTAGTTGAAATCTGAAAAGAAATCTAAATAAGATGAAGAATTTTATGTGGAAGACAGTTGAGGAAGGAAATTCCACTTGCAGAGACTGAGTGGAGACAGAAAAATCAAACAGTGTGAGACATGATAGGGACAGTTTGAAGTGATATTTTGTGAGAGCTTAGCATGTATTAATGAAAAAAGTGTGAAATAAATCCTGGAATGTAGGTGTCAACCACATTTTGGGAAGCTTTAAATACTAAGACCTATGTAAGATCCAGTAGACTGTGGGAGAGTCATATAGAGGCTTTGTTGGAGATAACAATGCGGTTGAAGTTTATCTTAGCAAAATTAGTATGGTTGTCATATGTGAATTATCTAGAATAAGACAAGTAAGTGTTAGAGAAACCAATTAATGAGTTATTAAAAGCGTCAGGGCAAGATATAAAAAATAGTCTGAATTAATTAGATGGCAATGGATAGGGAAAGAAGTTGGCAAATGAGATCCTTATCGTGAAGGTAGAATCCTGTATGATTTGGAATATATCACATGAAATAAAGTGAGTGGCTCTGATGAATATAAGGGAAATCTGAAGAGTGAGGGAATATGACTCTAAGAATATGTGTCTCATTGATTAGGAACATGAGAATGTCACTATCTGAAACTAATCAAGAAGAGAAGGTGGTTGTTCCAGATGATAGATGCATAGCCACTTGGAGGTCTAAATATCTTAGGAAGAGGAGTGTATTACTTGAAAAGCCATATTTTACAATAATGGATTTGGTGGGAGTAAGGGAATGGATTGAAGGGGCTAAGTGCTTTGAATAGCAGTTGGTTGATCATTATTAGAACCTTCAAAAGGACCATCGCAAAATGTGAGGATACCTTGTTGTCATTCATGCTCAGTCATATCTGAATCTTTGTGACCACATGGACTGCAGCACACGAGGCTTCACTGTCCCTCACTATCTCGTGGAATTTGTCCAAAGTCATATGCATGGAGTCAGTGATGCCATCCAACCATCTCATCCTCCATTGCCCCCTTCTCCTCTTGCTCTCAAACTTTCCTTGCATCAGTCTTTTCCAACAAGTGGGCTCTTTGCTTCAGGTGGCCAAGGTATTGGAGCTTCAACTTTAGGATACCTAGGTAGAAACTAATGGGGCATCACAGTAAATAGTGATGGTTTGTGATTGAACTTCGTGGGACTTCCCTGGCAATTCAGTGGTTAAGACTCTGCACTTCCACTGCAGGGGGCATGGATTCAATCCCTGGTGGGGGTACTAAGATCCTGCATGCCATGTAACACAGCCAAAAGATAGGGTGAAAAAATAAATAAATAAAAATAAATGGACTCTGTGTCTAGAAAGTGATTATGTGCATTGATTTTTAAGAAGAGGAATTTTCAGGGGCAGAGAGCCTACATAATTTAAATATGGAAGTCAATTTTCTCCAAAAGAGCAGCCCTTACTAATCCTTCTGGGAGGCACACACATTGACAGGGAAGGAGGGGAGAAATCCACATATTTTCATTGAGGGCCCCCTGTAGTCAAAGGATAAAGACAAGAAAGACACATATTGATAAAGAAATTTTAATAACTGGAAGGAAAGGATAACACTTTTCAGCTTACAGAACTTGAGTACAATTACCTGACATCTATTTTTTAAGAAAGAGAAGGAAATTTAATTGAATGCACAGTTAGACATCTATCAAAATGAATTTTCTTTAAAAATCTCATATAACAATATCCCATTTCTTTCTCAGCATAATGATTTCTTACCAACAAAGCCTGTCAGTGTTTCCTAGAAGCAATATTGAAGTGACTTCTTGCTGGAAATTCAGCAAATGAACTTTTTTTGCTCCCAGAATCTCTCTCCTCATTAGGCTAGTTAGAAATTCGCCCGGGGCTCCCAGCCCTTTTTCTCTCTGACGGATGCTAAGTGTAGAGGAGCTAATGGACACTTTAACTGTTAGGGGGCTTTCGATTCAATCCCTTGCAGCCTGGCAGCTCATTCCAAGTCCTTTCAGAAGAGCTGCAATCATATGCACAAATATGATGGTTAAATATGGGCTGGAAGAGAAATAGGTTGTTTTTTTGTTTTTTTTTTTTTCCCCCTCATGGGAAAAACTGGTTAAAAACAGGAAATAATTTCTGAAGGTTTCCAACAGCCTGGGACCCTTACTCCTTTAAAAGCTACCCCCCTGGTGGACTTGCTCTTTTAGCAGTTTGTTCCTAACAAGGAGAAAGGTGGGGAAGGAAGCCTTTTCCCTAGTTTCTTGTTGACACAGCCTCCTCCTGTGGGCCACCGTGTCATCTTTTTTTTTTTCCTTTAAACTGCCATCTAATAGCAATTGCTTATAGAATGAAATAGCCTTAAAATAGCTTGGGTTTCAAATAAAGAAAAATAAGAACCCTGAAACATGGACATGAGACACGTTTCCATGTAAATGTGTATCATCTGAGAATAGGTACAGTTAGCTGTTTTCCCAGTTACTTAAACTTTCTCTGATTTTCCCATCTCTCCTCTGTGCGTATCTCACACTAATATTAGCAACAATATATTGGTCAGCGCTTATTCGCTGACTGTCTGTGTTTCCTTTGTTCTTCCATCTAGTTGGAAGGTTTTTTTAAGAGTTCGTCTTTTTCTTCCACTTCTCAGTTTCCTCCCAGTGGGTCTGGCAATGAGACTCTGATTTTACAGTTCTTGATTGCATTCTTAATCTATAGGTTAAATTTGGTTTGGGGAATATTGGCTTGATGTTTCAGATGGTTTAGATCCAATAATCCACAAATGTCTAGACATTTAAATGAGGTCAGGAAAAAAAAAATCTATTCTTTGAAATTTATTTAGCAATTCCAGACATCGATTTGGAGAATGTGTCTTCCACAGGCAACAGAAAGAGAAATTTGTTCTGGTTCTAAATATGAATCAAAGTGGCAAGACCCAGATTGTCCTATCTTTCTAAATGTAAGCTCTTTTTGAAATCTATAAAGATGCTCCCGTGAATCTGTCTGGTGCTGAAGCATCAAGGCACAATTTATCCAAAATGACTGCCATTGCTAGAAGTCAAGAGCTGAATGTAAAGAGATGCTGCTTTGCCAAGGCATTGGAGCTCAAACTTCAGTCCTGATGATGGTGTTTTCTCCAGAATGTTCCCTCGTGATTTAAGTCAACTGACTATTTTGTTT